AAACTCCATTTTCTCAAATTTCCAAGGAATTTCACTCTCCCTAGATCAGCACAAGAAACCAAATCACTAGAGACAGGTGCTGAAGGCCTCCTCCCAGTCTGCCCAGGTCCTGCCCTCGGGAAGGACCCAAAGTCCTCACCTTTCTGCTTTGTTTGACCTTTCCCTTCCTTTGTTTGACCTTTCCCTTTCCAAGAAGAGTAAGACCATTCTCTCCAGGGAAAAAAAGTGGATAGAAAAGGAGAGAAGGAGGAGTTGCTGGTGTAGCTATGGACACTGCAAATGGGAAGGAAGAGTGAGAAAGAAATAGCAGAGTGATCCCCATTTCTCAGGTTCTCATTCTCTTTTCATTCACTCAACATGGTTTTTCAGGGTTTAATATGTGCCAGAAACCATCCCAGGTGCCACCTCCACCAGAGCAAATATGACAGATCCCTGACCTTCATGGAGCTTGTACTCTACCAGTGGGAGACAGATGTGTGTGTGCAATGACGAAGAGTGCTACAGATACTCTAAAGAAAAAAAAGGTTAAAGAGAAAGAAAATGTTGGGGTGGGGGGTGGGGGACGCTAATTTAGATGGGATGGGACAAGAAAGCATCTCTAAAGAAATGTCTTGATTTGAGTCATGAAATGAGTGAGTAAGCAGTGCAGACTTTTGAAGGAAGAACATTCCAGACAGAGGAAACAGCAAAGGTCCTGAAGTGCGGCTGAAGGCGAGTGAGAAAAGGGAGTGATGGACGATGAAGCCACACACCATGTCAGGGATTGCCAGCGACAGAGGTTTCCCTCTGGTATAACAAGCCACTGGTGAGTTCTGAGCACAGGGCTGAGTGACAGAAATGGCTTCAGCAACTTTGTTAAGAACAGACCATAGAGTGGTGAAGGTGGAAGCAGGCTGGCCCTGCAGGAGGCTTTTGAGTAATCCAGGTTGACAAATGAAAGGAACTTGGTGGGTGCAGTGAAAATGTTACAAAATGGTTCCTATCCTAGATACAGTTTCAAAGCAGAACTAATGAACTCTGCTGAGAGACTAGATGTGGAATATGAGGCAAAGAAAAGAATCAGGGGTGACCCCTGACCACCCCCCCCAGCTGTTGAGTCTGAGCACCTGTAATAATAATGAAGTTGTCATTAACTGAGACAGGGGAGACTGAGGGAAAGCAGGTTTGGAAGAGGAAAATCAAGAGTCTGGCTCCTAGAGACTGTGGCCCACTTCAACACCCTTATATCTGTTGTAAAATCAGGCAACAGCAATCAAGACGCTGATCCTAAATTACATATGGAAATTCAAGGGACCCAGAATAGCCAGAGCAGTCTCAAAAAAGAACAAAGTGGGAGGACTCACACTTCTCCATCTCAAAACTTATCACGTACATAGTTAATAAAGAGGAGAGTGTGATACTAGCATAAGGATAGACATGTAGCTCAATGGAATAGAACTGAGAGTCTAGAAATAAACCCTCACATTTACTGTCAATTTATTCTCCACACAGGCACCAATGGTATTCAAAGGGGGGGAAATAATCTTTTCAACAAATGCTGCTGGGAGAACCTGATGTCCACATGCAAAAAATTAAGACTCCTACCTCACACCATGTACAAAATTAACTTAGAGCAAGCCAAAGATGGAAATGTAAGAGCTAAAACTAACAACTCTTAGAAGAAATCATAGGCATAAATCCTCAGGATTTTGGATTGAGCAATGCTTTCTTAGATTTGACACCAAACACATTAAGAAAAGAAAAAATTAGTTATACTTCATCAAAATTAGAAAAATCAAGGCAGGTCATGGAAATTAAGGAAGGGAGGGAGAAAGGAAGAAAGAATAAAGGAAAGAAAGTAGGAATGAAAACTAACATAAAATACAGATGCTCAGTCAAGTTTTTTTCAGCACTACATTCACCTTTCTTTACTTGTAACCATCTGCAAAAATTCTGTCTTCTAGACTGTGTTTTCCCCCTAAAACAAGTTTCTAAGAAGGCATAAATATAAATCAATAAAACAGGAACAGGGGAGCACCAACAAACTAAATCACCGATAATTATACAAACTTTATACAGCGTAAGAGGATACCCCCAACCTCTGACTCTGACTCTGATGAGCCAATCCCAAAGTTAAGAATCCATCCAGTAGGGGAAAATAGCTGTTAGCCCACAGAAGACCCCAGAGACACAGGATGTAACAGATGATGCTGAGCCCGTGCAGGTGGCCCGCGGGAGCCAAAATGGGAAGGCAAAGTCAAGGGTTCACAAGATTTCCTTCACTTCAGGCCTGACTTTGCTTAATCCGTGATCTATTGGGACAGAGACAAAAGCTTTGGCAAGAGTTACCGAAACCTGTCATCACATCAGCTCTACCACGAGTCAAGACAGAAGGGCCTGACTGCCGCGTAGGGTTTCCTGTCTGACTGGCAGGGAAAGGGGTGGGGGCACCCCCTCTCCCACCCAGACAGTTTGCCGTCCAGACCTCCCCCAACAAAGGTGTCAAGACTTTAAATCATTCAGCTGACAAAACCGGAGGGAGGAAAGAACGAGAGAGGCCGTGCAGGAGCCTCCTCTGCTGCCGGAGGTTTCCTTCCTCCCAGCCCGCCGCCTCCGTGCGGCCCCTAGCACCGGGATGCCGCCGGGAGGTGGCCTCGGCCCCATCCCTACCGCGGACTCCACCTAACCGGCACCTCGCCCAAGCTGACCCCTACCCCCGCGGCTGTCACCGTAGGCTTTGCGCTGAGGGCCTGGGAGAAGCCAAGAAGCTTCTCCGGTGGGCCCTGCCTCCCAGAGAGCGGAGAGAAGCTGCAACCCCAACACCCGGCCCCAGGCCAGACCCTCGGCTCGCCCGCTCCGTCGCGCTGCCCCGCGGGGTGACCGGCGCCCCGAGCCCCAGCGCGCCTCCCAGCCCGCGCCGCCGCCTCACCTGCTCCGCCCGCGGTCCCCACGCCGCTCTGTCTGTGCGCGCGCCGCGTCCACCCGCTGCCGGCCTTTTTGGGTCCTTGGCGGGTATTTTCCGTCTGGCCCCACATCACTTCCCGTAAAGGAGCGCGAGGTGAGGGCGGGACCTCCTCCCCGCCCTCCACCTCCCGCTTCCTCCTGTCACTTCGGGGAGCACCCCCGCCCGACGGGTCAAGCGCGCCGGCCCCAGCCCCGCCGTTCCCGCCCAGGGGGCCGACGCAAAGTTCCCCCTCGCCTCTTTTAGCCCAAACCCGGTCTCCACTGTCCTTTCCTGGAAGGTGCCAAACCTTAGGGGGCTGTCTTCATTTTGAGACACAGGGGTGACATTTTAAAACTTCTCTGGGATCGGGGCACTGCAAGGTATAGTTTGGTGCCGCTCGCCAAATCTCCCCCAAAGCCATTTTATACAGGTGATCTTCGGGGCGTCGGCTCAGTGTCTGTCTCTGGTCGCCACAGGTGCTGAGCCGTTCCAAAGTCGGCCCTAAGCGAGGGTCCGAGGGGCGGGCTCCCGGCTTACAGTGACTGCCCACTTGGTCTGGCTTCCTCGGGGGCCAGATCCGCGCTGGGCGTCCTGGCTCTGCCGCTGTCCATCCGGCCCGGCCAGCTCCTCACTCGGGTAGCCTGGCGTTGGTGTTCCTGGAGTGAGGGAAAGCTCTGGGATACTGGAGAATGGCTGGATGACTGGGGCGGGGTGGGAGGGGGCGGTCAGAAAGGGTAGTAAGTGGGGTAGTAAACAGGGTCTCTGCTCTTGAACAGTCGAGTTCAGATGACAAAATCTCTCTTATTTAAATTTCCAAGGATTGGAGCAATTCGTTAAAATTAAAATATATATATATACACCTGAAAGACTAGCCCCTGTAGCGAGACATCTGCGAGCCTCTGCTGCCCCCTAGCGGCTTCCCTCTCTCAGTGCCGACGGCTTTCTGTGAGCCGCTTGGACCTGCGGCTGCGAGGCAGAGGCGGGAAGCTTCAGGCCCGCAGGTTCTCCCTGGAGGCGCCAAATTCACTTTTGGGCTCATTCAGGGGAAGCATTTCTTTCTTTTTTAATTTTTGACCACATCAGGAGGCATCTGGGATCTTAGTTCCTGATCAGAGACCCTGCATTGGAAGATCAGTCTTAACCATTGGCCTGCCAGGGGAGTCCCCAGGCAAAGCACTCCTCAGCCAACTAATTCTACTTCTAAGCAAAGCAAATGTTTGGAAGTCCTAGTCCACTGGCTCCTCCTGTCCATTCTATCTCACAGATTCTTCTTGCATCACAAATTCCAGCTGTCTCAAGGCCACCTGCCCAATCCCATTATCCTTTCAGTCTGTAACTACTCAGTTTGCATTACAATACAATGAGCTTCTCAGATTACTTTAAAAAAATCACATATAGGATGAACCATATGAGATTCTAAATATTGAATACATATTCATTTTAATAGTTCCAGGCAAATATAATGCAGTAATCGCAGAGTTAGGGATAACAGATTCACTACATGGTGATGCTTTCAAGGGATATTCCTTAGAGAAAAGCCATCAAACTGTTGTCAGTGGAGGTTAAAACAGGGAAAGTAGTCCCATGCTCATGTGTGGAGGAAGTCTTGGGAGTCACCGATCAGCTAAGATCTGTTGGGGGGGAGGGGAGGGCATCAACAATGCAGCAACTGCTAACGGTTCACGTGATTCAAGGAGCGCTCAGCCCTCCCCACTCCTACAGCCAGGCAGGGCTGTCACCAGGAGTTCACCAGGCAGGTCAGAAAACAGCGATGCTGTGGCTCATACATCACCCATTCCGTCATTTCATCCAGCAAGTCAAACACTGTGTTAGGTACTAGACATGCAATAGTGAACAAGGCAAACTGGTCCTTGCCCTTAGTGATCCTGTCCTCAAAGAGATCAAGTTAACTTCTGTGCAGTGAGATAAGATCCTTGATAAGGGAAGTTGTTGTTCAGTGGCTAAGTCTGACTAATTGGAAGACAAGTTAAGTGATACCAGATCAATACATCCCAGAGACAAGTGATGTACAGATTAAGAAGGATGAATAAGTGGGGAAGGTGGGGTGGTTTAATTGCTAAGCCGTGTCCCACTCTTTCAACGTCATGGGGTTTAGCCCTCCAGGCTCCTTTGTCCATGGGATTCTCCAGGCAAGAATACTGGAGTGGGTTGCCATTTCCTTCTCCAGCAGATCTTCCCAACCCAGGAATCGAACCAGGGTCTCCTGCATTATAGGCAGATTCTTCAGCAGCTGAACCACAAGGGAAGCTTTGGGGAAGATGAGAGGAGAGAATTCTACGAAAAAGAATGGCCTGGAGGCAAAAAAAGAGAGAATGAGATACTGGAGCAACTGAAAGCTTATAAAAGCTGAAAAAATAAGTGGAAGGAGCAAAGAAATTGGAGAAATAAGCAGAATAATGAAGGACCCTGGAATGCTTGTAATAAAGGCTAACATTTATTGACCATTTATTCTGAATCAGCCAATATGCTAAGAACTTTACATATATCACCTCATTTACTTCTCACAATTGCCCTATGAAATAAGCACTATTCTTATCTCCATATTACAGATGAGGAAAAAGCACATTAAAGAGATTAAGCAACCTCACCAATTTTACACAGCTAATAAGTGGCAAAGCCAGGACCAAAATTCACAATGCATCTTCTTAATGGCTGTGAGGTTAAGAATTGGCTGGGAAGGCCAATGAGCATGCTGAAATCCAAGTGAGGAATAACAGTGATCTGGTTTAAGAGGGTGGCCTTGAGGATGAGGATGAATAGACAGATTTGAGACACTTAAGAGAGTGAATCAAGAAGACTTGGTTGTAGGTGGGGAGGGAGGAGAAATTCATGGAAATGCTCAAATTTCTGGTTTGGGCAACTAGGAACCCCTAAGCAAAAGAAAGTGTTAGGTAGTTAGAATAGAAAACAGGAGTCCAAAATGGCGGTGGCTAAAAGACAAGGAAGGGAAAAGCCCGTGAAAATAGAACAAAAGAAGGTCAAAGGAAGGTCCGAGGACCGGGGTGAGGACTTCAGGTAAAACAGCACTCCGAACTAAGCCCAATTTGCATAGGGCAAGCCCAGGGGGAAGAAAAAACATATAAAAAGAGGAGCCAAAGGGTTCTCTCTCTTTCTCTCCCACGTGTGCATGCGCTCTTTCTCTCCACCCCACCCCCCATGCGCTGGGGTGCTCTTCTCTTGGCGTCTTTGGATCGTCGTGCCCTCATGCCTCAAAGATGGATTTTCCTGCTATCTTCTAAATAAAATAGAGCTGTAACACTGAGCTGAAACACTGATTTGTCTAAGAGCCATAACACGGTCCGTTCAAGACCTGAGAGCTATAACACGGTCTGTCCAAGACCCGAGAGCTGTGACACGCGGAGGGGTCTTTAATGTCGGTCACTCCAAATCTTTGTTGTGACGACACAAAAACCGAGGAGCATACACTCACCTGACAAAAGCATCAGGTAGGGTGAGTGACACAGACCATAATCAACAAGTTCAGGACATTTCAACTTTGACATACCAGCACCAGCAGAACATCCAAGTGAAACTCTTTAGTATGCAGTTGAAAATGCTGGTCTGAAGCACTTCAGAAGACATGAACCGGAGCTGTTACTACTCAGATGTGAGAGGCAATGAGTTCGTCTAGAAAATGTGCTGAAAGGGTAAAAAGGGGTCTTGTTGCAGAATCCAGATGATTGGTCAGTATTTAAGGCATGGGCAGAGGAAATTCAAAAAGGAATTTGAGGAAAGTTTATCCAGAGGAAAACAAGAGAACGTTATTACAGAAACCGAGTATATTAAATCTCAGTTAAGAGCTTGCTTGTTTTAACTAGGACTGTCAAAATATTTTTGTTTATAAGCTACATTAACAAAACTTACCTTTCAAATATGTCCACTGTGAATGTCAAAGTATATTCTTAAGTATTTTGTATCTAGTTGTTGTAAGGCTGCCAGGGCTAACGCGATGACAGGCAGCCTAGATTAGGAGTAGGCCTGGTTTTCCGGGGTAACATGATTATCAGGCCACCTGGAGCCAGCCAATCAACATGCGCCTAGTAAGAAAGAGGGAACCTATCAGGGGAAAGCTGAAAAAGCCCGCGAACGCCCAAGTTTGAAAAAAAGCCCACAAAGGTTTGGGCCAATAAGATTGCTTTGCAAAAAGGTAACCAATCCGCTTAAGCCAGCTACCAACTGCTTATGCACACCCTATAAATTTGGATAACAGCGTGGGCTCAGGACTCTCTGACCCTGCACCACTGCGTTGGTTGCAGCAGGAGCCCTGACTCGAGTCAGCAATAAACTTCCCTTTTTTTGAGTGTTGCATTGTCTTGGAAGCCTTCTCTCTTCCCGCTCGGGGATTCGGACATCGGGCATAACAGTTGTAAACTTGTTGAACTATAAATTATTTTCAGAAAATGCTCAAAAATAACACTTCATATTGGAAATAAACATTAAAAAAAAAAAAACCAGGGCCAGCTTGAAAGGACTCCAACTGACCAAATTGGAACAATTTGAACATAAAAATAGTGATCATCAGGGTTGGCTTCATGGCCTTGCAGCCAGAACACCACACAGGGCCTAGCACACAGAATTATATTGTTCTGCAGTCACCGTTTTAAAATGGTCAGTAATTTTATCTTTGAATTTGTGTCTTACAAGTGAAATCTGATGGCACAGTGGAGCATGATGGAGGCTTGAAGCCTCTGTATGTACATGGCTCTGACTCCTGCCACTGCCCACGCCTCTCTTTCTGGTCGTGAGAGAGTCAATTCCTAAATAGTGTCAACTACAAACTGGCACTTACCAAGAGCATTTGCCATCTGCCATGGGGAGATTGAAGCCCACACTGCTATAGCTGTTGACCTTCAACAACCCCTGAGGGAGGTCAGGGTGGAGGGAGGCACTCTGTGCTCCAGGGAGTCTGTGGGACAGGTCTTTTAGATAGTTGGGTGTTTTTAGGAACAGATTTTATGATCTTGTTAGGTAGTTAGAATAGGGAAAAGGAGTCCAAAATGGCAGCTAAAAGATAAGGAAGGGGAAAGCCCTAGAAAACAGAACAGAGGACTAGAGTGAGGACTTCAGGTAGAACAGCACTCCTGGCTGAGCCCAGTTTGCATAGAGCAGGCCCAGGGGGTAGAAAACGTATAAGAGGAGGAGCCAAGCATGGGTGCACGCGCTCTCTCTCTCCTGCATGCCTTCTCTCTCTCTGTCCCCCTGCCCCCGCGCGCTCCTCCACTTTCTTCTCTCCTTGGAAAATGGATTCTCTTGCTATCTCCAAATAAAATAGAGCTGTAACACTGATCTGTCTCAGAGCTATGACACATGGTTTGTCCAAGACCCGAGGGCTGTGATGCTGAAGGCTTTAATCATTGTTGAGACAAGAACCGAGGAGCACACACTCTCCTGACAATCTCAATCCTTGCAACTCCTGATATCTAGAGAAGCACTAAATCCCTTCATGGTGACATCAGATCCTCATGACTAACAAAAATCCTTTTGTCAAATGAGTTGCTTCATGGTATTGAAATCCCCCTTCACCAAAACCTTATATATTGACTTTCTCCCACTGCTGCTTTGGAGCAGTCTCTCAGAGCTATCTGAGATGCTGCCTCGCGGGCTGCAGTCCTCATTTTGCCCCAAACAAAACTTAACTCACAACTCTCAAGTTGCACATCTTTTCTCAGTTGACAGTAGGTTGATAAGAAGTCCGGGGTCCCTGAGGAGGATAGGGGTCTGGGGCTCTCAAGGAGGAAAAAAGGACAAATTTTTTTTTCCTACATTGCTTTGTCTTAGTCACTATAACAATGGATCTTGCTTGAGGACATGTTTCTCCTTCTTGAGATCCTTCTGACTAATCCTGTCATCTTAAAATATAAATTGCTTGGGAGTGGGTCTGGTAAGACCTTTACAACCTTGAGATATCCTTTTGATTTACTGTAATAACCAACTGAAAAAGTATATAACTCCCTTGCTAAGACTAGCAAGGGTGCACTCTCTGTCCCCCTTCTGATGTCTGTCGGAAGCTTTCTCTGTCCCTTTTTATACTTTTATAAAACTCTGCTACACAAAAGCTCTTGAGTGATCAAGCCTGGTCCCTGGTCCCGATGCTACATCTTCTCCGGACATCACGAATCCAACATTGTTCACTGTAAGCTATCAGTCCCCTGGGACCTGCACGGCCTTGCATTCACAACTCCAAAGCAGTGACTTGGTCACCTTCACTTGGGGAGGCCCACATTCTGCCATCACCTTCCACATGGCCAGGAGCCTGGGCATGAGTACAGAAGAGATCAGGATTGAGCCCATGCCCCATGGCACCATGGGGTGGGCAAGAAGGCCGGTGTCCCTGCCCTAGTCTGGTAGCACCACAGTACATTCTATGTGCCACCAGCAGGGGCCTGCTGCTGCCACCACCCAGGAATCAAGGGCACAAGCATGGAGGTTTGTAAACTGGAGGTTGCACACTCATTGTGAGTTGTAGTGGGTCCATGGAAAGAGACTGACTTTCTGATCCCTACCCATAGCCATGCATCTTCATTTTGCACTGAGCCCCACAAATCATGTGGTCAGCCCTGGTGACAGTAATAAATTATAACTCACTGAATAAAATAGGAATCTGTGAATCAAACCAACACATCACTTCTGCAGTATCCCCACCAAAAAGGTATAACCTGGAGCTATCTAATCATACAGAAGCATTAAACAAATTCAAATTAAAGTATATTTTACAAAACAAACCAACATTCTTTGAAAATTTCAAGGTCATAAAAGGCAATGACTAACAAGCCTGGTAGGCTACAGTCCATGGGGTTGCAAAGAGTCGGACATGACTGAGCGACTTCACTTTCACTTTCAAGAAACAAGAATAAATAAAACCAAAGAACCATGAACTAAATTCAAATGTGACCCTAAATGAGATCCCAGTTCAGAAAAATATTTTTGTCTTGTTCTAAAGGACATTAATAGGACTTAGTAGAATCGGAATGAAATCTGAGATTAGATAATATCCTATCAATCTTAACTTCCTGATCTTGATTATTACACTATAATAATAAATGAGAACATCCCTGTCTTTAGGAATTGCACCCTAAAATATTTAGAGGTTATGGGAATCACATGGGCAACTTATTCTGTCTTCAAAGGGTTTAGAAAAATAATAAGTTTGTGTGTGCATAATACGTAAGCACATATATACAGAGAAATTAAAGCAAATGTGGATAAATGTTAACATCTGTGGAACCTGGATAACAAGTATATGAAATTTTTTTATATTATTTTTGTACTTTTTAAGTCTGAAGTTACTTTAATAGCTTAAAAAATTTTTAAATTCTCTTCAGAAAATCCCATAGGATCAAGTCAAGTGGCCCCCTTGAAAATCTATCATCGTCTTGGCTTTCCCTCTTTTTCTTGTTCTCCTTATCTCGCCCTGCTGACCTTGGAGTCAGAATAACGGATTTGTGATGAGACTGCAGAACCACCAGCTGCTGTTACCTGCAAGGCCCTGATGGGGCTCCTTTCACTGAGGCACTGGTGAGGAGGCCACTGACATGGATGTCCTTTATGAGATGAGACTGACAGAAGACGCTGCAACAGGACTCCCAAGTTAGAAACAAAAGAATTTCCAAGTGGCAAAGGTCTGATGGCAAGTCATAACTGCTAAAATGGGAAGTCAGGCTGGAGCATACCCAGGGTGTCTTGACTTGATAGCATACAGGGTTCTATTCCAACAGCATAAAAGGTCACCATATTCTGAAGGAAAAGATAGAAGGGTGTTATTGTTTTGGGGAAAGAAAGGGGTGTTTCTTGACTCACATATTTTTAAAAGAAAATTAAGAAGTAGTGAGCAGAAGGCTGTTGGTTTTCACACTGGGAATCAAGATCTTTTACATTTCCTGATTTAAGTCATTCCGTAAATTTAGACCCAACAATTAAAGAAGCTGTGTTTACCTGAGGAAGGACTCCTCAACGCCACAAGAATCTACCATAAACTTTCCTCTGCTCCTACCAAGAGACCCAAGGCCTTTAACCAGGACAAAATTCAGATCCTGTTGACTGCATGATCTGAGGCTGGTACAAGGAAGCTCTAAATTGACCATGGTCCCTCAGTTTAGAGTGCAGGGTCCTTGGGGTGGGATAAAATAAATACAGGTTTAGCCCAAATTTGTTTTACAGGAACCCATTGTCATTCCTCCCCAAACTGAGGTCCACGGATAGGATATATAATATGTATACACACATATTCACACATATATATATACACACACTCAGTAGCTGGCAGGGATCTCACATTGATCTTACAGGAAGAGCCATGCCTTAGTCTGTTCAGATTGCTATTAATAAATTCCACTAAATAAGTGGTTTAAACACAGGTATTTTTCTCTCACAGTTTTGAAGGCTGAGGTGTACAAGATCAAGGGGCTGGCAGAGGCAGATTCAGTATATGATGAAGCCTCTTTTCCTGATTTGCAGACAGCCACCTTCTTGCATGGGCAAGAGACAGAGCACGTCTCTGGTATCTTTTCTTTAAGGGCACTAATCCCATTGATGCTTTTAAACATAGGTGGCTCTGATGGTAAAGAAATTGCCTGTAGTGCAGGAGACCTGGGTTTGATTCCTGGGTTGGGAAGATCCCCTGGAGAAGGAAATGGCCACCCACTGCAGTATTCCTGCCTGAAGAATTCCGTGGACAGAGGAGCCTGACAGCTACAGTCCATGAGGTCACAAAGAGTTGGACAGGACTGAGCCACTAACACTACTATTAATCCCATTGATAAGGGCTCCACCCTCAGGACCTAATTACTTCCCAAATGCCCCACCTCCAAATACCCACACAAGGGGATCAGGGCTTCCCCCCATATGAATGGAGGGATGCATTCAGTCCATACCACATCATTATTGTATAAAGAACCAACTGAAAGCCCCTGAATCTCCTTTCCCTGACTATGACAGCAAATTGGAAGCAATTCACACAAAGAATTGCAGACATTACCACCACCTTCAAATATATGAAATATATATCAAATATATATATATCAAATATAGGGGTGGGGCATCTCCACATTGCCATTCAATTCAGTTCTTTGGGCCTTGCAAAGACTAAACAGACATTTTACAGATGGATGGTGATGGTGGTCACACAACAATGTGAATATACTTAATGCCACTGAAATGTACTTAAAAATCATAAAAATAGTAAATTTTATGTTATGTATATTCTACACCATACACATGTACTAGACGAATTATGGAAGAAAACAATGGACTACCCCAACTGCAGCTGCTACTCTGGAAGCAGTGGGTTTTTTTTTCCCCGACAGTGGTTTTTTTTTTTTTTTTTTAATTTGGCTGCACGGGGTATTCACTGCTATGCACAGGCTTACTATGGTTGCAATAGCAGGGCCTTCTCGTTGCAGTGGCCTCTCATTGCAGAGCACAGCCTCCAGTAGTTGTGGCATGTAGGCTTTAGTTGTCCTGTGGCACATGTAATCTTTCCAGACCAGGGATCAAACCCATGTCCCCTGCATTGGCAGGTGCATTCTTAACCACTGGATCATCAGAGAAGTCCTCTTTAACATTTTATTGAGATATAATCTCACACAATAAAGTTGTAAAGTGTGCACTTCAGTGGTTTTTAACATATTCACAAATCTGTTACTGAACACCACTATCTAGTTCCAAAACATTTTCATTATCCTAAAAGTAACACTATATCCATTAGCAGTCACTCCCTATGCCTTCTTCCCCTTAATCACTGGGAAATACTTAATACTAATCCACTTTGTCTCTATGCATTTACCTATCCTGGACATGTCCTATAAATAGAATTATACAATATGTGGCCTTTTGTGCTCAATCAAGGAATATTCCACTGCGTGGATATACCACGATATAGTTATACGTTCACTGGCTGAGACATTTGGATTATTCCACTTTGGGGCTATTATAGTAATGATGCTACGAGCACTCATTTACAAATGTTTATGCAGATGTTTTCACTACTCTGGGATATACGTCTACAAGCAGAATTGCTGGGTCAAATGGTAACACTATATGTTCTTTTTGAGGAACTTCCAAACTTCCACAGCTGCCAAACTTGTTTTATATTCTCACCAGCAATATTCAAGGATTTCAACTTCTCCACATTCCCATCAACACTTACTACTTCCTCTCTCTTTGACGGCAGTCACCCTAGTGTATGTGAAGTGGCATCTCACTATAGCTTCGATTTGAATGGCTGTAGTACCTTTACTACACCCCACTCCAGTCCTCTTGCCTGGAGAATCCCATGGACGGGGGAGCCTGGTGGGCTGCCGTCTATGGGATCACACAGAGTCGGACACGACTGAAGTGACTTAGCAGCAGCAGCAGCAGTACCTTTACTGGGGGAAAAAAAAATCAACTCATTCTCTGACAGCTGGTATGTGACTATCAAACAGACAGATGCATCCTTCTCAAAATAATCAAAAGCAGTGACTTAGCAGCAGCAGCAGCAGTTCAACTTTGCCCCTCTCTCTCTTAATCCTGCTACTTACACTGATCTCATCATAGATAGTTTATATTGTTATAATTAATTTTTCAAAAAAAAGAAATGAGTTGATTTACAGTATTTTGTACATGTGTTACATTTAAGCTGTCACTGAAAATATAAAATTAAATCAGTTCTCAGCAATTTCCAAAAGACCCTTTAAATATATGAATAGCTTCATAAAAAATTAACTCTTCCATGATCGTGATTATTAATGTAAATTTGCTTAGTGAGTTAAGTAAACAGATCTGTGTAATGTTTGCCACCCTATGTGACACCATCTACCGTCTCAAAAACCTCTCTTTATTTAATTTGAGCCATCCTGATTCTCAATTTACACCTCCATTCTGCCTGGGATGAGAAAGCCAGGAATTGAAAGAGTGCTGAAGTATATTAAAGTAGGCTAATTGCAGGCTAATTGAGGGGCATTCTGCATGAGGTAGGTAACTTGGTTAACCTTATTTACATACACAACTGTAAACACAATTCCCAGCTGGTTTATATACTCTAGACTGCCAATGTATAGGCTGCATTCCCAGAAAAATAAGCCTCAACTAAGAAATAAAATATTCCTTAATACATTCATTTTTGCTTAAAGGGAAACAAACTCATAGATCCTGGTGAAAAGACACAGAATGGCAAAAAGTAAAGTAAACATTAAAATTGACAGTGCTACTTTTAAAGCTAATTTAAAATCACTATCAATAATGTATTTACATTTAAAGTTTAATTGATAACTTTTTACTAGATTATTTACAGTGAATAACTTTTTACTAGATTATTTATACTCAATGTATAATTTCAATGGAATTTTACGCAATTACAGTTCAACTCCATGTAGTATCAACTTTTCTTCTCTTCTGAGTCTTGTACCAATTTCATCTTTTCTTTTAACTCCTTCTGATCTCTGGAATACTGTTCAAATATTGGCTGATAAATATATATTCCTCCAGCAATTCCAAGGAGGCTAGCAAAAAGCAGTTGTGGAAAAGTCAATCTTCCAAACATTTTTTCATCAAACACTTCACAGCACAAGGATGGTTCTAAAAAAACAAACTCCACATCCAGGAACTCTCTTCAGGTCTGTATACAAAGAAAATGGGAAGTAAAGCAGTAACTCAGCACAATATCCTTTATAAAGATTTCATGCCACAACTCTGCTCCTGCATAAACAGTATTTTTCTCATAATATGTAAATATGCTTTTTGATGTAACTAAAATAAAGAATATAGATACAAAGCGAATATGAGAAATGAGGGTTAGGGGATGGTGTAAGATAAAGCTAAATGCTACTATAGAATGTTTTCTGAGGTTTTAAAGTGATACTTTACTAAATGGCAGAAGCATGGAAAAAATAGAGGAACATGCTTTTTATGCCTTTAAAGGTATACAAAACTATTAAAAGAAACAGCCGTCCAGGAAAGTTAAATGTGACTGCCAATCTCATCTGAAAGGGGAGAGATTTGTTACTTTTCATTATTAGCTCTTCTTTACTATTTCATGACAATATGTGTGATTAAAAACAATTTTTAAAAACTAAAAGATTTTCTAGTTCCTTTGATGCTATAGTAGATACAAACTGACATCACCTCTAAGTCATCTACCATCCATTTTTGACAAAAAATAAAATAAGGATTCCACTGGTTTTACTTTTAACAACTGAAGGGTTAAGACTCTAGAACTTCTCGGAAAATTATATTCTTTGCAATAGTCTATAGTCTGATAAGTTCTAAGGTTCGGAGATACTAAGTACATATTTATAAACAGGTAAAACAGAGCGAATCATTTTTATGTTTTCTTTATTATAACAATATTTCACAGCCTCCTAAGCCAGTCCCCGAGGTCACAAAACTCAGCAGTGGCGGAGTAACTAGTAGCTGCTGCTTAATATATCGGTAAAATCGTAATTTACCATTTTTCTGGGGGAAAAGGTCTTTTTTCCTCCTGGACTCTACCGTTAACTAGATAAATGAGAACTTCACCAAGCTTGGTTCGATGACTACTGAGTGTAAGAAAAGGAGACATTTGCAAGTCAGCTCCTTGTGAAACGGACAATTAAACCACAAGTAAATTCGGGAAGGTTCCCCTTCCGCTGCTAGTTCGCTAAGTGACACTGACCAAGTCCTTTAACCTTTGGGGGGGGCCTCATTTTCCACATCTGTAGAAGAGGCTAAATTACCCTTATCCCGCCTACGTCGCTCACCCAATAGTCATTGTAAGATCACCCAAAGCATGCAACGTTACACCAACACTTCCGTTTGTAATTATCAGTACTATTATTACCACTCACACACCGTTCTGCTTCAGCTCCCCGCCGCCTCCAGGCTGCACCCGCAGAGGTGAGATCCAGTTCCTTTCAGCAGTTTCCGCACCCCGGCCGCAGAGACCACAAAACCAAAGGAAGAGAACAATACCTCGAGAAAGAACTGTAGCAGGGAAACCGGGGACCAGCCCTCGGCAAAGACGTACACGCGTTGCTTAACGAGCAATAGTGGGCCGCGGGGACCACCGTTGGGGGTGGGCGGGACGAAGAGGCCTTTTCCCAGCTATCTCCGCGCCTGCCGGCGACGGCAGCTTGCAAAAGCCAAACTTAGTGGGCGGAAGAGCAACGCGCGCCGCTTCAGCCATCCATTGCTGGTGACGTTGGCTGCTGGCGGTCCCCAGTGGACCTCACAGCTGATGCAGAATGGAGCGAGACGACAGCGGAGGCGGCGGCCTCTTTTTCCGCGGTCTTCAGAACCGCTCCCATGAGAAGACAAAGCTGCGAACGAGAAAGTCCACCTTGTATCTCAGCCCGCAGAGGAGCACTGGGCGCTGCGGGGGTGAGTTGGGGGGTGGGGTGTGGACGCCGAGCTGGGTGGTGGTGGCGGGAAATCGGCGACCCTGAACGAGGGCTCCATCTACTGGGGGGCCAGGAGTGGCGGGGGGGGGGGGGCGGGGGCGGCGGATGGTGTGCCAAGAAATCGCGTTGCGCTGGAGATGGGATTCCGGAACCCCGTCTCTTGCAGGGCACTGTATTCTGTATTGTTTTGTGCCAGCTTTCCGCAGCCATGTGAAGTGAGTAAGCATAATGTGGCCATCCCAAGTCAGCGAGGGAATGGCCACCCTGACCCAGTGTTCCCAAAGTTTCGGTATCTACGGAGGGCTGATTCCTAGAGTGGAACCAGGTCTGACACCCGCCACATTGCTTTTTCCTGCTGGCCCCTCCGCCTTCTCTTTGGTCTCGTTGTCACCGTGACAGGAGAGACATCACCCCAGCAAGTGGGATTCTGATCTGTCGGAGGGGGTATTTAATATGTAGATAGGTTCCTCATTCATTCATTATATATTGCGTGCCTTGTATGTGTCAAAGGCTGTTGTTTAAGGGCCAGTTGAGTACAGTTTCTTCTGTCTGAGGCCACAAAGTGAAGAGGAGAAAAGGAGAGAACACAAGGTTTTCGGACAGCAGATAGAGTCCTGTAGGGAGGTTTGTTTCTGAAAGATTAAAGTTCAGAAGGGGCACTATGTGGCGTTGAATGCACCAGTTGAGAACACTTAAAATATGTTCTTGCATTCTCTGACCTAAATCACAGCAGGATCCTCTATGATCCACCTCCTAGTATAATGGAAATAAAAACAAAAATAAACCAGTGGGACCTAATTAAAAGCTTCTGCACTACTAAGAAAAGTATAAGCAAGGTGAAAAGACAACACTCAGAATGGGAGAAAATAACAAATGAAACTAACAAAGAATCTTCAAAATATATAAGTAGCCCAGGGAGCTCAATACCAGAAAAACAAACAACCCAGTCAAAAAGTGGGCAGAAGACATGAACGTACATTTCTCCAAAGAAGACATACAGATAGCTAAGAAACACATGAAAAGATGCAAACATTGCTCTTTAGAGAAATGCAAATCAAAAAATGCAAATGAGGTATCATCGCACACCAGTCAGAATGGCCATCATCAAAAAGTTTACAAACAATAAATGCTGGAGAGGGTGTGAAGAAAAGGGAACCCTCTTACACTGTTGATGGGAATGCAGACTGATACCACCACTATGGAGAACAGTGTGGAGATTCCTTAAAAAACTAGGGATAAAACTACCATACGACCCAGAAATCCCACTGCTGGGCATATACTCTGAGGAAACTAGAATTGAAAAATACACGTTGTCTTGATTGAAAAAGTACCCCAGTGTTCATTGCTGCACTATTTACAATAGCTAGGACATGGAAGCAACCTACATGTCCATTGGAAAATAATGCATATACACAATGGAATATTACTCAGCTATAAAAAGGAATGCATTTGAGTCAGTTCTAATGAGGTGGATGAACCTAGAACCTGTCCTACAGAGGGAAGTATGAAAGACAAATATCATATATTAGTGCATGTGTATGTTGACAACTGGACAATGGAATCTAGAAAGATGGTACCAGTGTGCAGGAAACCAAAGTAGACACAGACATAAAAAAGACTTTTTGGACTCAGGAGAGGGTTGGGTGATTTGAGAGAATAGCATTGAGACATATATATTACTTATGTAAAATAATAGCCAATGGAAGTCTGAGTATGACACGGGGCACTCAAAGGCAGCGCTCTGTGACAACCTGGAGGGATGGGGTGGGGAGGGGGTTGGGGAGGGAGGGGACACATGTATACCTGTGGCCAGTTCATGTTAATGCATGGCAAAACCATCACAATATTTTAATTACCCTCCAATTAAAAAAAAGGAAATGTTCCTGAAGAATAAAGAATGAAAGTGCAGGAACCCAGAATGATAGTAAAAGACTCACAGTGGATCAGAGGCAGGCTGCAAACTCAAGTCGTCAGGAGACAGAAGAGGCAAGGCTAAATACAAGTAAGAAGTCAAAGGACCCTATCTTTCAGTACCAGCCATCTGTTTCCCAGTTGAGCTCTGTTGCCAGATCTTAAGGAGTTTTGATATGCTACAGTACAGATGTTAACATAAAATCTGATTTTTAAATGTTGGCAACTAAATTCACATTTAAAAAATATTTAGTGTATAAGCTGTCCATCTGTAATTAAGAGCAGGACGCGAGTCAACATACAGACCTGGTTTTGAATCCTGTTTATTTACAACCTTTCTGACTTGGGAGAAGGCAGTTTAACTTCTGAGCCTCAGTTTTCTCATATTAAATAGGGCTAATGACACCATCCCCATAGCAATGAGGACTAAATGATATAGTGCATGTAAAGGAATGAATGCAGTGCCTAGCATACAAAAGCATCAATAAGGACTATTTAAAAGTGTACAAAGGAACATTTTATATGCCAGTATATGCACATATGGGCTTCCCTGGTGGCTCAGAGGTTAAAGCTCTACCTCCAATGCGGGAGACCTGGATTCAATCCCTGGGTCGGGAAGATCTCCTGGAAAAGGAAATGACAACCCGCTCCAGTATTCTTGCCTGGAGAATCCCATGGACGGAGGAGCCCGGTAGGCTACAATCCACGGGGTCGCAAAGAGTCGGACACGACTGAGCGACTTCACTCTCCACTCACTCATATGCACATATACAAAATGATGCTTCCTAAGTTAGTAATTTGTTAGCTGGTTTCTTTCATTATATACACATATATTAGCTTAAGGCCTTAGTTAACCCAATCTCTTTTTCAAAATGTATCTTAATATTTGATTTGTTAAATGAAAGGAGTGGTAATCCCCCACTGATGAGGCTAAGGTGCTTTGTCTAACCTTCCACCCAGGTCTGCTTTTGAGTAGTGTGGAGAGGCTGGAGTTCATCACTGCACTTAAGAGCTTGAGCAAGGGGCCAACCAGAGCAGATTTTAGTTCTCCAAGTGGAAGTTTCCTGACTCTTGTGCTACAATTACCTGTTTGTTCCTTTTTTTCAGATCTTCTTGGTGAAAACATTTATCTCGTCTTGTTTATCATAGCATTACGAATATTTAACTGCTTTTTAGTCCAGACAAGTTTTGTTCCAGATGAATACTGGCAGTCTCTTGAAGTTGCACATCATATGGTTTTCAAATATCCTTTGTAGTTTTCTATTCCTGGACTGGAAATGTGTATTCATCTCAGAAACTGTGTCAGCTCTATGACATGTTTTCAATCAATTTTCCATATTTTCTCCAAGTAATTTTAACCTATAAAAGTGTGCCATTATTTTAGGCTAATATTTCTTCTATAGCTTTCTTTGGTGTTAATGTACTAAGCCTTTGGCATATATTCCCACAGTGCTCACTAACATGGAGGATATAAATTAAGTAAAAAAAAAAAATTCCTGCTTTGAAGAAATTTAGTCAGCCAGCTACATTTTTATTTCCAATACCCTATATAAAATACTTTGTTTTTATTTAAGATTCTTTGCTGAAAAATAAGTTTTATATGTAGAAATGAAAAGAGGTTTTGTTTCAATGCTACTTAACATTAGTCCTTAATATTACTAATTATGGTTATTTGACCTGGGAATGGACAGAAAGATTGAGGGGTTATACTTACCCCTTAATCTTTGCAAGCATTTACAAGATTCTGCATCTTTTGGGGAAAGATAGTGTTCACTTGCTGGTAAGTTTAAATAAAGGTAATCAAAACAGTCATTAACAGATTTCATCCTTTTTTTAAGGTTAATGTGTATTATTATTAAATATTAATGATAATTCAGTTCAGTTCAGTTGCTCAGTCGTGTCTGACTCCTTGCGACCCCATGAACCACAGCACGCCAGGCCTCCCTGTCCATCACTAACTCCCAGAGTCCACTCAAACCCATGTCCATTGTGTTGGTGATGCCATCCAACCATCTCATCCTCTGTTGTCCCCTTCTCCTCCCGCCTTCCATCTTTCCCAGCATCAGGGTCTTTTCCAATGAGTTAGCTCTCCGCATCAGGTAGCCAAAGTATTGGAGTTTCAGCTTCAACATCAGTCCCTCCAGTGAACACCCAGGACTAATCTCCTTTAGGATGGACTGGTTGGATCTCCTTGCAGTCCAAGGGACTCTCGAGTCTTCTCCAACACCACAGCTAAAAAGCATCAATTCTTCTGTGCTAAGCTTTCTTTATAGTCCAACTCTCACATCCATACATGACTACTGGAAAAACCATAGGTGGACTTTTGTTGGCAAATAATGATAATTATTTATGGAAGTTTGTTTTTAAAAGACTACTGTTGCTGAACTCTAACCATATCTGGGAAGCCCAAGGTTCAAAGACACATGGTGATGTGTAAGTGTTCAATATGTGCTAAAAACATTAAGCATTAAAGTGTTCTGCTGTGAGAAATTCTATTAAGAAATACAGATGTTCAGAATGACTATATATTATTTGTACTTTAAAAGTAAATTTCCTTCATAAAAGCATCACTTAAAGTGTTATATCTTATTTTTTAACTTGTAAACAGAAGACCATGTTATGTGAGCCTATGAAAACTAAATACATATAAACCTACTCAGGATTTAGTGTTGAAATTAAAAATTAGGAAAATTAACTTGACAAAAATATATTGATATGTACAGTCATTGTGCTGTGTAGTAATTAGCCATCAAGAGTGAGCAGGGTTGTAATTCCTAGATAATGAATTTCTGGGGTCAGTTGCCAGGAAAAGATACAAAAGAAGAACTAACAGGTGCAGAAGTTTTTCTAACCTCATTATCAACATCCTTTAAGCTATCATCAAGTTGGACTCAACAGTTTGGGCCTTCCCCATTTTCTGTTAGGGAAGTGGCCCAGAATTCTAAAGACAGCCCAAATCCTGAAGGGTTTTTTGAAGCCTGGAAAGACACTGAGGTTGTGGAGTTTTGTTTAGTTTTTTTCTTTAAAGGCTGTATTGTACCCTCCCCTTTACAATGATACGTAATTACCCATTAGTGAAAAACAAAGACCATATTGGTGAAATTGATGCTTCATTTGAGAATATCACAGGGAAGGAAAATTGAGAGCAGTAGGAGTTATTTCTCCCATTAATACATGTAGAAGTTAGGAACTGTGAATTGTTTTTTCATCTCTCACGACCATCCACTAGCTTCTAGATATGAGGATATTAATATTTGCCTAGGCAAATGTATATAATATCCCAGAAAATAGGTTAGATTATGAATGACGTCTTCAAGATATAACTTGAACAGAGAACCATTATGATGCTGTCAATCATCATACTCTCATCTTGATTATTTTAAAATAGATTTTAAATAATTTAAGTAATTTTGAAACCAGAAGGGGTCAGAGAAGTGATGAAACAGACCAAAGTCACTGCATGTTAACAGCTAAAACCAGATCTTCTGTCTACTTATTCACACCCCAGCGCTCTTTCCAGACAACTTCTCTTTAAACTCCATAAGGTATGTGGATGGAATTAAGGATGGCTTAGAGCTCTGCTGTTCAGTACAGAAGCCACCAGCCACATGTGGCTACTCAAGCCTGGAAATGCTAGAAATGTGGCTAGTCCAAATTGAGATGTGCTTAGTGTAAAATCCATACCAAATGTCAAAGAACTAGAGCAAAAGAATGTAAAATATTTCTGTAATTTTTACATTGATTAAATGTTGAAATATTTTAGATATAAGTTAAATAAAAGTATCGAGGCTCATTTTACCTGTTTCGACATTTTTCACTTTTTGACTACTATAAAATTTAAAATTCAGTATGTGGCTCACATTGTCTTTATACTGGAGAGCACTGGCTTGGAATATTGTGAGAAGAAAGAGGGATAGGAAGGGAGACCTGTGGGGGCGGGGTACCACAATGGGGGTTTTGATCAGTCAGAAGATGGCCCACAGGTATCCGGCTCCTGGAGCTTCAGGAAAGGAAGGGTCAGGATCTTAAAGAACAGGAATATAGAATAGTAAGCTGCCAACAAAGGCCTAATCTTCAGGGTTCACTCCTGGCACATTCCATCTTCTCTTTACTCCATCGCACTAGTTTTTATTCTCCGGCAGCCATGTGTAACTCTTAATTCTTGTCAGGGCCTTATTATAACCTGGAAAATTATGATAAAGTCTGGAGAGACTGCTAACAACTGGAAGTTTACAACTCCATTTTTGTGTTCAGCTAAAATCTACCTTCTTTTAAATTCAAGATTTTTACATAACACTTCAGAAAGTCCTATTTATCCAGGATAAACATCTCCAGTCTTAAAATCTTATAATCATCTTGTAATTTATTAATGTCTAATCTTAAAATGTGGGTCTTGAAACTGAACACAATATTGAAAGCTAGGGCAAGTAGCTCAGAATATAGTGGCTCATTAGGTTCATAAATAACTATACTTCTCTCAGTGCACAAGAATTCTTTTAGTATTTTAGTGTCTACCTTAACACTCAGCTCATATGAAGTTTGTAGCGAAATTAACTTTTCACATGAAGTATTTGCAGACCTGGGAAGTAAGGAGGAGGCTTATAGATTCTTTTGCAGGGCAAACAGAAGGTGAGTACAGAGGTGCCTTTTATTGTATTTTACAGGCACAGTTTAAGTGGAATTATGAAGTACAATGTACTGTTATGATTTATAAACACATTTACAGAGTACTGATAAAGGACATAAAGCTAAAGTGTTAGAAACCACTGACAACTGAAAGTAAAGCAGTTCTAATTATAATGTAAAATTAGTAAAGTTTGATGCAATAAAATACATATGTACATGTAAATTTTTAGAAACACATCTTTTGAACAAACTAAAATTGTTGTGATCTACCAGCATGTGTTTAGTTTGTTAATGATAACTGTGACACATTTTAAAACTCAAAGGTATTAATGTATAATGTAGAATAATTAACTGTAATTAAGTTATATTTACTTTCTTTTTACTCTTTAATATCATCTGAAAACTGTATTTCTATAATAATATATTAAAACTTAAAAAAAAAAAGTAACTCACATTATTGATATTGCAGGATAGCGAAGCAATGTAATTCAGTAGCTAATAGCTTTGGAATCAGGCAGACTTGGGTTGAATCCTGACCTCCACACTAACTAGCTCTGCAGTTTTGGGGAAATTACTTATCCTCTCTGTCCCTGTTCTCTCATTTATAATCCTGTATCATAGATTGATAGAAGGACTGAATGAGCTGATATACATGAAGTACTTAGTATGATACTTAGCCCATAGTAAATATTTCATTAAAAATTACCTATTGTTATGCTAATGAAAACATCTAAATGTGCTTCTAAAATAGAGCCTTCACACAATGAAATGGGCTGCTGGCTACTTAAAATTAGTAGTATTGTAAAACATATATTACAGAGAGAATGGGAAAGATAAAACTACCCTTTGGTATTTCCATGAAAATTAATGTAGTTTTTTTTGTAGAAAAACAGGTATTTTTGCAGAAGAATAGAATAATACATCTTTTTTTAAAACTAAGAATGGCTTTCAATCAATGTTGGATAAGCTTGTTGATTGCTTATGGTTTTAAGTGTGAACTAACCAGATGTTTTTAATATATTTTTTTTTTTTAACTAATGAAGATTTGGATTCCTAGACTTGCCCAAGCACTTCTGTCTGCTATAGCAGACTTGAGGCTTTACTCATTAATGAAGCAACTGGAAAATCAGCAAGTAGCACAATGGGTGGTAAGTCTAAAACACGTTAGAAAATCTATTTCCTTCATTCCTGTGAGCATGAAGCACATAAACAGGGCAGTCAACATGGCTGATTTCCCAAGGCAGTTTAAGAAGATAACTTGTACAACTTTTAAAAGGCACTTCCATAATTCAGAACAGTAAGATCCAAGTGGACATGCTGTCTCCTCCTGAATGAGCCCTACGTGGTAGAAACCATTGGTGCCTTCCAACCCTATAGAGAGGCCGAAGCCTATGACAGAGCCTTGAGAAGCAACATGACTCAGGGCTGAGTCCTTGTCTCACTTGCTGTAATATTCAGTAGGAACAGTTCTAAACTATTGCCTACCACAGATTACCTCAGCTGTTTACAATCCTTTCACTATTCCTCCAACTACCTGCAACTCAGGCCTGAGAATTCTCTTCTCACTGATGCACTCTTTCACTTTTGGCTAAAATAATGGAAAAGGTACAGAAGACTGTCTTTTGTCATTTGACTTATTTCACAGTGAGGAGATTCTCAATCTCCTATTCAAATCCTGAATGGATTTTCCCAGTTAAACCTAAAGAAATGTTTCAAATTCCAGGTAACCAATTTACCAACACATTTCTGAAATATAATTTATAGTGTTAATTTATTAACATTAATTATTAATATGACATTTCTGCAGGTAGTGTGTTGATTTGCATTAAAGATAGATTACTTTAGCAATCGAGTCCTTCAAGGATTAAGTCAGTCTCTTTAATTTGTGCTTATATACACTGCCCAAGGCTGAACTAAAACAGCAAAAACATAATGCCTTTAAAATCCTTCCTCCAAAGTGGCAGCACTAAGATCTTCTAGTTCAGGAAGAGCCTTTAACTTCACAAAAAGAAGTTAATTGGGAACATATTTTAAAGTCTGTATTGGAAGAGATAGGAAGCTGGTATGACATGTATTGACATCCTTGAAGCAACCAGTAAGTTTCTTTTAAAGGCATTTGTTTTGCAGACAATGATGCTTCTGTTTGCATGTTCTACCAAAAAGTGGCTTATTAATTTAGTCAATTTCCAAATTAAAATTTAATGCTTTTTCCTGATAAGTCACTGTGTGTGTGTGTGTGTGTATTGTCTTCAGTTTCCAGGAAATAGGACAACATTCCAAACCAAGGTCAATAAAAATATCAATAAAATACTTGTCAGTAATATAAGACAATTTGAGTAATACTGATTATAAAACTCTAGCTATGAATTTCAGTCTTCTTTAAACTCTGCTGTCAAGGAATCTGCTGTATTTTTTTAAATCTTTTATTAGTGTGCAGTAAGATTTAAATCAAATGAAATGCCACAAAAATGTACCTAAGAGAATAAACTTAACTTTAACAAATATAGATCTGATTATCATAGACATGTGTTTGATATAACTTCTTAAAAACAATGTTTTGGCATGCCCATTTTTAACATTAGACTTGCCTGCTATTTTCCTTAGAAGATTAATACTAAGCTTTTCCATTTCCCACTCCATATATATTTGCTTGTAATTGTTCTTAGTTTTTTTGCCAGTTATGCTCTTGGTTCACGTGGTATTGCTGTACCAGAACTCTTACAAACACCATGGAAACTGTTCTCACTATAATTGCTCTTTTCTACTATCCTATGGAAGGTTCAAAGTCTATGAACAGGTGAGTTACAGTACTGTTACAATTAGGTACAAAACTCTGAAGCATGGTTTTGAAAAATCTTAAATTATCAATATATTGCAATATCTAGTGGACTCCCCCAATATTCATGAAGGCTATCAGAACCACAAATTCAGAGTTGATACATTTATTACAGCAGGAGAGTGATACTCAAGCTAGATAACCAAAGAGATTTTAATAAAAGGACTGTTTACAAAGGTATAAACAATATTTAGAAAAGCTAGTAAGGGGATACCATAGTACCTGAGGGCTAGTCACACAGGAAGTTTCTGTTATCCTTTGGCCTCAGGGAGTAAGGAGAGGAAACTGTTACTGAAATCCCTAGAACTATTTTAGAGGACCCCAACAAGAGAGGGGTACAGCCAGCCTTTATCCATAGCAAGGAAAGAGCAGGGTGAATAACATACACTGACTCTTCTGCCCTCCACTTAACCAACGCTAATGAGAAGCCAAAGAGCAAGACAGTCCATTGATACAGTCCACACAGGTCACTCTCCCTACACCCTGAGCAGGTGAAGAGTAGAGAGTAGATCCTGGATGGCAAATAGAAAATACATGGACATGGTTTGGGTTCATATAAATTGGTATAAAATACTAAGAAGAAAGAACATCAGAATAGGGTTTCACTGTATTCTGGGCAGGTTGTCTGGAGGAGCTAATGTGTGGTAGGATGTGTGGGAGAAGAGAGGAATGAGGCTAGCAAGGCACTTTGCCCTTCTCCAGAATTCAGATTTTATGAGTAGCAGGGTACCGGCAGCTATGAGAAGCATGACAGTTAAACCTGATTTAGAAATAATTCTCTCCTAGTAGCAGTACTGAGGATATACTAAAAGGGAGAAAGCTAGAAAATCTGGGAATCTAGTTAAGAAGCTACTAGTATCCATTCTTCCTTATATACAAGGTTGTTGAGGATCAAACCAAATAAGATCATTTCTGCATTAAGACTGCTGACTGCTAGAATAGGCATTCACTTACATTACCTATAGATGAGGATGTCTAAACACTAATTTCTATCAAATGAGAATAAAGCCACTTTCAAGAATTAAATGAGAATCTATAGACAGTGTGGCCTATTACACAGTAAGTGTTGAGTAAGTATTGATGGTGACAATGATATTCTTAGGAAATATTTCTGCAAAATTAGAAATAATGACTATAAAAAGATTCCAAACAAGTGACACAACTATGAGAAGATTTTAGGCAAGTGTGAGGACCTGATGGAAAATCATGGCAATGGGAAAGAAAGCGGATGTGTGGGATGAAAAGTTGGGATTTAAGGTGACTCCAAACTTTAAGACTGAGAAAATGAGTGATACTGTTAAATACTGGACACTAAACAGGAAAGAAAGTTGTGGGGCTTATTTCATATGCTTTAATTTTAAATTCCAGTAAGAGTTATGTAGGAATATTGAGAAAGGAGTAAGAAAGCCAAGTTGGAAAATTTGGAGTGAGGTTAGGTAGGACTAGATACATTTGGGCATCCTCTAGGTAGCTCCACTGGCAGAATTTGCAATTAGGCTGACGAAAAGTTCAGACCAAGCCAGAGATGTTTTATTTCACTTGCTCAGTGTTTGTTTTTGTTCTTTATGTTAACTACTTGGCAAAATTTTTAAATTGGGAGATCTTACCTAAAATCTTGAAAAAATGTAATGCCTGGCAACATTCTGGGCCAAGATTCCTTCATGACACTATTGGAGGTACCATGCAAATTTTTACTACTTATCTGGTGTCCGTAAGAATTTGAACTTGAAACTCCTATTCTTACATCTTTACCAACATTGGAAATTTCTTTATAGTTACTTATTAGCTAATAGGTATATCATAGTACCATAAAGTTGTTTCATTTTGCCACTGTCTGTCATCTTAATGATTATTAGGTGCTCTCCTTCAACTATTTATTGAGAGGTCCTAATAGTAAAAACCCACATTTCTATCCATGGTCATATAGATTTTTACAGTAAGCTTTTTAAAATCAGGTGTATATCTATATAAGTATATATAGATATATGTATCTTTCAGATGGGCAAAACTATACAAGCCTACCTTCTGAACAAAACCACATGTGCCCAGAAGCCCATCATTGCCTAAATAATCCCAATGTTCTTTAAAAGAGCTTTTTTTTTCCCCCTTAGAAAATGTGTGACTGTCTTTTATCTTGGTAGGAGACACTTCCACCAGAAAAGGATTTGACAGAGTTTTATGGTTAAAAGTTGATATACCTCTCAAATAAAACTAACATTAAGATTAGAATAACCTCTACTTGGAAATACCAGAATATTAAGTAAAGCTGGAAAAGACCTTACATATTACCTCTTTTTTATGGATGAGAAAAATTAAGAACCAGAAAGTTTAGGTAACTTCCCCATGTTCAGATAGCTATTTATACCAAAAAGAAAATGCTCAAAAAAAAAAAAAATGTAATACCACAGAGTAAATAGATAACCTCTGAACTCATTTCCAAGTTGTCTTAACAATACCTTTTCCTTGCATATAGTGTGAAGTACTCATCCCTGGTGGCACTTGCCTTCATAATCCGTCCCACAGCTGTTATTCCATGGATACCTTTGCTGTTCAGACATTTCTGGCTAGAACAGAGAAAGCTTGATCTTATTCTACATCAGTTTTTACCTGTAGGGTAGGTATGGCTACAATCCATCATATTAATTTTAATAAATTAAAGATTATGAACAAGATCTTACCTCTTTTTAGTCAGGTATATCTTCTAATATCACTGAGAATTATCAGACCAAGGAAACATAGTATTTCCAATTTTATATTTTTAGTTGTGATTCTGAATATTTTAATTTGCTTAAATGAGGATCCTGGGAGTTTTTCTAAATTAAAAACTTTCCTATGCTTTATTTCTTAAATATTTTTCAAAGGTATTTTAAGGATACTTGATTCCTTCACATTTGTATGCAGTTTTATAAGAAACATACAATATATATTCACATATTACCTGATTTTCACAATTCTTGGATCTAGGCAATGTAGGTGTGTTTTTACTTTGTGATACAGAAAATGGAGGGCTAGATGAAAAAGTAAATTAGCCAGTGTCACTGGGTTGCTGTGATGAAAATGAGATTGAAACCCAGGTTCTCTAACTGTATTTTGAGCTCCTAGGGTCAGAATTATACCAGGTACCAGTGGAATTATACCAGTGGAATATACAAAATAATTATTCATTGAAGGAATTAATGCACTTTGACTCTTAAAACAGTGATCTTTTAAATATATTAGTATTCACTCTGTACAGGCTATTTTTGGTAGCTATTAAAAAAGGAAAAAATCACATGGTGGCTAAGTTGCCACTACTGTCATTTCTCAGATTTATTAACACTGTTTTGATTGTAAAGCATTCATTCAGCAAATATTTAATACTAATAATGTGCTAGGTGCTGTTCTACATGCTAGAGATACAGCAATTTAACAAAGTGCATTCCTTCATGAATTATACATTCCAGTTCGGGGAGATAGCTAAAAACTATTGATTAATTTATGTTTGAGAAACTTGAGAAGTGACAATGCATGCTGTAGGGAAAAATCATGAGAGCCTTCAGCTGAAACTACAGACCCAGTCAATATCCTAACAAGTTATGAGATCCTGAGTCAGAGCTAAGCTGTGCCTGGATTCTTGACCCACAGAAGCTGTGAGATAATAAATGTTCATAGTTTTAGGTTGCCAAAACATTTGGCAGTAATTCATTTTGCAGCAATAGGTAATACAGAATTTATTACTTTTAAAAAGTTTAAATACAGCTTTTCTCAATATCTTTCAAAACGTGTAAATCCATATTCAGCTGGAGAAACGTTTGAAGCATTTTTAAAGTGGCTTTTGATGCTATATGCCACTAAGTCATATACCATTGCTGGATTTTCTGTAGGTTCAAAATGTTAGTCACCAAAAAAAAAAAAAAATATTAGTCACCATTCTATTTTGTTTTTCAGATTTGTCACTTTGAGTTTGTCTCTGATAATCGATCGTATTTTTTTTGGTCAAGTAAGTAAAAATAACTTTTTTTTTAAAGTTACTTTAATATAGTCATTGATTACACTAAAAACTCAGCCTTACTTTTTAATCCATGAGTATCTGGAAACATAGGCAAATCATTTTTTTAATGATATGGGATATATTAGAAAAAAGCTAGTAGCATATGCCTTTGATTCACTTTGCTGTACTTTCCATATAACAGAATTATGTATTAATTGAAGTTCTAAGAGTCCATTTAAAGTACTGTTGTCAGGTTTGTAACAATAAAGGTTAACTTTTAAATGATATTAGTTCACCTCAATTATTCAGAATTCATATTAACCAGAATATTCTTTAAGCATCTGGTTTAATCTTATTGGTAATAGATTTAGTATTGGTTTAATCTAATAATAATGGTAATAGGTTTAATCTAATTGGTAATAGCCTCTGGTTGTTTTTTAGTTGCCTGTTTTTAAGTCACTTATATTCTGGAATCAGATGCTACTGTCTGAAGCCTAGTGTATTAAGATGTAAGACCTTGGACCAGTTATTCTTGCCCATTTCCTTATCTGGAAATAATTGTGGTACTTGTCTGTTAAGGTTGGAAGATTAAATGAGATAATACATGTAAAATGCTTACAACATTGCATGGCAAAAGTGAGCACTTAATGTTAGCTGCTATTGTTATTACCTAGTTTATGCTGTAATTCAAAGGGCAGTGTTTTTATCTTATCTTAATAGGTAATGAGCTTATCTTAATAGGTAATGTGTGATGCCATAAGGTGGTACTACAGTAAAATTTTTAATATGGGTACCAAACACATATAAAAATTATTTTCATTGATTCTTTATGTCTGCATGCTACACTTTCAAAATGGGCATAAACAATTATACTCTTGAATCTCAAAAACCTAGTGTTTTACAAAGAACACATTAATACTTATAAAAAGTTAATGATTTCACTGTTACTATAAATGACAATGAAAAGAGAACCATACAAAATCTATGGGATGCAGCAGAAGCAGTTCTTAGAAGTTCACAGTGATACAGGCTTTCCTCAAAAAACAAGAAAAATCTAAAATGAACCACCTAAACTTACCACTTAAAAGAGTTAGAAAAAGAAAAACAAAACCAGAAGTCAGCAGAAGGAAGGAAATAATTAAGATGAGAGAGAAAATTAAGAGACGAAAAAAAAATCAGTAAAACCAAGAGCTGGTTCTCTGAAAGGGTAATAAACAAGATTGACAAACCTCTGGCCAGGCTCACAGAGAAGAAAAGACAGAGGACCCAAATAAATTAAGAAATTAAAAAGGAAACATTAACAACTGATACTGCATAAATACAAAGCAACATACTACTATGAACAAATACATGCCAACAAATCTGACAACCTAGAAGAAATGGACAAGTTTCTAGAAACATTCAGTCCACCAAAACTGAATCAAGAAGAAATTGATTCACTTCTTGAATTGTGCTCTTTCAATCACTAGAGAAGAAATAGAATTAAAATTAATTTTAATTAATTTAAAATTTTAATTTAAAAAAAAAAATTTTACAAACTCGCTGCAAACAAAAGTCCAGGACCAGATGGCTTCACAGGCAAATCCTACCAAACATGCGAAGAAGAGCTTATACTGATCAGGATCACTCCCAAAGACATTCTATGAAGCAAAACTAGACAAAGATAATCACCAAAAAAGACAATTACAGGCCAATACTTCTGATGAATATTGATGCAAAAATTCTCAACAAAATATTAGCAAACCAAATCCAAAAACATAGAAAAGATTGTATACCACGACCAAGTGGGATTCATCCTAGGTTCACAAGGATGGTTCAACATAGGCAAATCAATGTGATACAACACATAAACAGAAGACAGAAGCCACATGATCATCTCACTAGATGCAGAAAAAGCATCTGCCATAACTCAACATTCATGATAAAAAAAACTCTTGCCAAAGTGGGCATAGAAGGAACATATATCAAGATAATAAAAGCTATTTAAGACAAACCCATGGGCTTCCCAAGTGGCTCAATGGTAAAGAATATGACTGCCAATGCAGGAGACACAAGAGACGTGGGTTCAATACCTAGGTTGGGAAGATCCCCTTGGAGGAAGAAATGGCAACTCTCCAGTATTCTTGCCTGGGGAAAATCCCATGAGTCGAGGAGCGTGGCAGGCTACAGTCCATGGGGTTGCAGAGTCAGACATGACTTGAGCGACTGACCACAAACGCATGACAAATCCAGAGGAAATACAATACTCAATGGCGAAAAGCTGAAAGCCTTCCCACTAAAATCTGGAAGAAGATAAGGATGCCCACCCTCACCTCTTCTATTCAACATAGTACTGGAAGTCCTAGCCAGAGCAGTCAGATAAGAAAAGAAATAAAAGGTATCCAAAGTGGAAAGAAAGATGCAAAATTGTCATTATAGCAGATAACATGATACCATCTATAGAAAACCCTGAAGACTCCACAAATAAACTACTAGAACGGATAAATGAACTCAGCAAGGTAGCAGGATACAAAATTAACATACATAAATCCTTTGCATTTCTTTACACTAACAATGAAATATCAGAAAGGGAATATAAAAAAACCACACCTTTCAAAATCACACCACTCAAAATAAAATACTTAAATCTGACCAAGGAGGTGAAAGGCTTATATACTGGGAACTATAAAACATTAATAAAGGAAACTTAAGATGATTCAAAGAAATGGAAAAGATATCCCATGCACTTGCATTGAAAGAATTTATATTGTTAAAATGGCCATACTACCCAGAGAATCTACAGATTTAATGTGACTGCTCCTATCAAATTACTTATGACATTTTTTTCAGAACTAGAACAATCCTGAAATTTATATGGAACCATAAGAGACCCTGAATTGCTAAAGCAGTCCTTCAGAAAAAGAACCAAGTAGGAGGCATAACCCTCCCAGACTTCAGACAATACTACAAAGTTACAGCAACAAATCAGCATGGTACTTACTGGCACAAAAATGGATATGTGGATCAATGGAACTGAATAGAGAGCCCAGAAATAAACCCACACACCTACAGTCAATTAATCTTTGAAAAAGGAAGTAATAATGTACAATGGAAAAAAGACAGTCTCTTCAGCAACTGGTAATAGGAAAGATGGACAGTTACCTGCAAATCGAAGTTAGAATACACTGTCTCACTATACACAAAAATAAACTCAAAATGGCTGTTTAAAGACTTAAACATAGACATGACACCATAAAACTCCTAGAAGAGATCATAAGCAAAATATTCTCTGATATAAATCATGCCAGTGTTTTCTTAGGTCAGTCTCCCAAGGCAATGGAAATAAAAACAAATATAAACAAATGGGGATGGGGAACACATGTATACCCATGGCTGATTCATGTCAATGTATGGCAAAAACCACTACAATACTGTAAAGCAATTAGCCTCTAATTAAAGTAAATTAATTAAATTTTTTAAAAAAGGAAAATATGAAAAAATATATAAACAAATGGAACCTAATCAAACTTATAGATTTTGCACAGCAAAAGAAATCATAAAAAAGAAACAAAAAGACAACTTAAAGAACAGGAGAAAATATTTGCAAATGATACAGACAACAAGGGCTTAATTTCCAGAATATGCCAACAGTTCATTTAACTCAACAACAGAAAAACAAACAACCCAATCGAAAAATGGGCAGAAAACCTAAACAGACATTTCTCCAAAGAAGAAATACAATGGCCAATAGGTACATGAAAAGATGTTCATCATCACTATTACAAAAATGCAAATCAAAGCTACAATGAGGTACCAGCTCACACTGGTCAGAATGGCCATCATTAAAAACTACAATTAACAAATGCCTGAGAGAATGTGGAGAAAAGGGAACCCTCTTACACCTTTGGTGGGAATGTAAGCTTACAGTACAGCCACTATGGAAAACAGTATGAAGGTTCCTCAGAAAATGAAAAACAGAATTACCATGTGATCCAGCAATCCCACTCCTGGGATTTTTCCCACATATCCAGACAAAACTTAAATCTAAAAAGATACTGGCACCGTTATGTTCATAGCAGCATTATTCACAATAGCCAAAACATGGAGACAACGTAAATATCCATTGACAGAGAAATGGATAAACATACAATGGAATACTACTCAGCCATAAAAAAGACTGAAATAATGCCATGTGCAGCAACATGGATGCAATAGAGATGATCATACTAAATGAAGTCAGTCAAAGACAAATACCATATGATATCATTCATATGTGGAATATTTAAAACAGGACACAGATGAACCTATCTGTGAAACAGAAACAGACTTAGGGACGTAAGAGAACAGACTTGTGGTTGCCAAGGGGACAGGGGTGGAGGGAGGGTTGGATTGGGAGTTTACGATTAGTAGAAGCAAATTATTACATGGATAATGGAAGAACAAGATTCTATTATATAGCACAGAGAACTGTATTCAGTATACTATTATAAACCATAACAGTATAAAAAAGAATTATTGCATATTCAAAATTATCAATGTAAACTACTTACCTAGTGTTCAGACTTCATTCTGATTTAATTTCATGATTATGCCAAATTCCCCAATGCCCAAAATTCGTACTTGGCATTAACACATTTCTGTCTCTTTTTCCTTCAACTATCCCAGTGGACTCTGGTTCAATACAATTTTTTGAAATTCAATGTGCTGCAGGATTTGGGATCATTTTATGGTTCTCATCCATGGCACTGGTACTTCAGTCAAGGATTTCCAGCTGTCCTGGGTACTCACTTACCCTTCTTTATTCATGGCTGCTTTCTAGCCCCAAAGAGGTACAGGATATTTTTGGTGACTGTGCTATGGACACTGCTAGTTTATAGGTAAGGTTTTATTTGTTCAAATAGTTCATTTTTTAAATATTACCAAGAAATTAAATAAATTATTTGGAAGGTAACTATCTTTTGCAGGTTCATTAATTCTTATGATTTGTTAGTGGGGATTATTTAGCAGATTGAAAATGCAGTGATTATGCTGGTACTCAGGGCTTCCCTGGTGGCTCAGTGGTAAAGAATCCACCTGTAACGCAGGAGACGTGGGTTCAGTCCCTGGATCGGGAAGATCCCTTGGAGAAAGAAATGGCAACCCACTCCAGTGTTCTTACCTGGCAAATCCCATGGACAAAGGAGCCTAGTGGGCTAGAATTCAGAGGGTGGGAAAGACTCGAGCACGACTTGGCGTTTAAACAACAACAAACAAATGCTGATGCTCAGACCAACTGAATACTTTTAATACATTCTCCAGATCTTCCCAACCCAGGGATCAAACCCGAGTCTCCTGCATTGCAGGCAGATTCTTTACAGTCTGAGCCACCTGGGAAGCCCTTCTGATACATATAGTTTGCTTACTAAGATTATATTCAATTTTAAGAGGTTGAAAATGGTATTTGCTTTTAAAAAACAGAAACCGCCAACATTTTAAGTAATATATTTCTAAATGAAAATGTATGCATTTCTATTTGAAATTTGAGTAATATAACTTACTTGGGTTCGTAACAGAAATCCCTTTTTTTAGTATGCAATTGTTCTTTAGAATTTCACATTGACATCAACTGTTGGCATTACTTTTAACACATCACCACCATATAACCAAAAAATAATGAGACTTATTCCTGAAGCATGAAATTCAGTCTCATAATTACAAAAACAGATGTTAATTATATTCATTTTAAATACATTAATTTCTTAAACCATCATTTAATATGAGAAAATAATATTTTCTTTGAATATCTTTTTATTATAGCATGTTGAGCCACAAAGAATTCAGGTTTATCTATCCAGTTTTACCATTTTGTATGGTGTTCTGTGGTAAGTATTTTTGTAAAATAGAGAAAAAAAACAATAATAAAGAAACCAAGGACAATCAATGCTTATTAAACTCTAAAAGATTATTGTCTACTAGGCTAAGTAAGTGTTGCTGCTTAATTACAAATTGATTATATTACTGCAGCTTTCCCTTATTATTTTATGCAGCCAGAATATCCTTTTTCCTCCCTAAATGTCCTTTTTCCTGTGTCCTGTAAAGTAAGATAAAAATATAAGGATCCAGCATCCATAGCACCCTGATGGTAGTGTTTCTGGCTGTTAGAAATCTTTCACTAAAAAGTAATACATCTGTTTCAGAATAGTTAATTTAAATTTATGGTTAAACTACAAGTTCTACATTCCACAAATGGAAAATTAATGTTGAAACTAGTTTTTAATGCTTTATATACATTTATCCCTTCAAGACTCAGTCCCAACGGATATGCAGTTTTTAACATGATTCACACCTCTGGTTTCATTTGCCACCTTTCTCCGTATCTCCACTAGGTCTTTGCAATAAGTTTTTTACATGTGACTTCTAAAGTCTTATATTACACTAAGCTCTGGAAAATATGAATTTTTATGTTGGTGTGGAAAATTTACGAATTGAAACTTTATTAAAGTTTAATTCAGAATGATTTGTTGGCTTGCTTCAAATATTAATCACTTAAAAAAGAAAAATCACTGGACTAAGGAAGGAGGAAATGATAATCAAATTGGACCTGGAGGCTCAGAAAAATGAGGGCATTAATGGTACCAAACTTTTTACTTAAAAAACAAACAAAAAAAAACCCTCCAAATTCATTGAATTAAGCAGCCTTCTTTGGTCAAGTATAAATATCATCTCCCACATCTCAGCTTTATGTATTCCCTTTAGACACAAAAATACATGTCTATACATCTGAAATATCTAAAGTACTGAAACCAAAGTTAGTGTCATATAGTATTTTTATATAGTCTTATTTCATCTACAGATGCAGACACAAAAATATAAGCATGTAAGAGCTATTTGGCAAGTCTTTAGAATAGTGGGACCATTTAACAACAATTCTGTTCATAAATTACTATTCGGATTTAGGTTTTTTTTATTTTCTTTTTTAACAACCACTTGAGTTACTTATAATTGTTTACTTTTCACCCAGGTGAACACTGCCAGATACTACTGGAGAACAAATATTTCTGTGCACATTTTGTTTAGTTTGGTTAATTTAGGAACTTGGTTACATTTTTATAATCTGGTTTCCCCAGCATACTATTTCTCTGCTCTGTGTCTTTACAGAGTGTTTTAAAGACTGAGTTGTCTAAATCCTCATTTCCATTCCAAGAGAGTCAATCTTTAAGGGGGAGGGTCTTGGTAAACTGTTACCAGTCCCAAACACTGAGATAAAATGCTGGTGTGGGTTGAAGAGACACCTTTCTAATGAAAAGAATCTGCCTTTCTTCCATCTTATGTCCATTCAGAAAGATCCTTTAAGGATAGAGAACTAGAAAAACCCCTGATCCTCTCACAGGATGTGAGCTTTTCCCTCAGACACGTGTACCTAAGGTTCCTGGGTGAGCCAAAAATTCTGATTCCTTGGAGACTTGTACTTCCACTAAGAATTAGAACTGTTATGCCAAGTTCCAACAACAAGACCAGTTAAGTAGTGAGTTCACCTAGACCAAAGTCTGCAAGTTCAGGAATGATTTCAGACAACAGTCTCTTTGGAGTTCCAGATGTTTTAAATGGCAGTTTTCTGGCCCAGTTTTCTTTTCTAGACACTTGAAATCTTGAGTTACATTGTACCTCAAATCTGTTTTTACTCTATTCTTATGTGACCTATTTTAACCTGATTTTATATAAACATGACAATTTTATTGGCAATTGCAGTGTAACAAGTCACCTCAACACTTGGTGGCTTACAATTATTTACAAATCGACAGCTGAGGTGGGTGGTTCTCCACTCAGCTCACTTATGCAAATATTATCAGCTGCGGAGGAGGCAGGCAGCTCTGCTCAAAGAGGCTGGGCTGTCAAATCCTTGGGATTCAGCTGGCTATTGATCAGGGTACCTCAGCTCTTTTGTGGGCGCTCATTCTCCAGCAGGCTCTCTGGTGCTGAGCAAGCTGGGTGTAGGCGTGGATCCGAGGAAGGCCCCAGCATGGAACCGGCACACTGCCACTTCTACCACGTTCTTTTAGTCAAACCAAGTCACAAAGCCAAGCTAGATTAAGAGATGACAAACTTCAGGCTAGTGTGGGGACAGGACACAGGAAGAGAAATAACTGCAGCTGTTTTTTTCAATCTTCAGTAACTTCTCTTGCCTAATTTGAACTTCCCCCAATCCTACCCAAAACACCGCGTAATTCTAGATCAGAATGTTGGTACCTCAGTTTCCTTACCTGTAAAAGAAAGCTGTCACTAGTCTAATAACACTGAAATTCTTAGACTGAACTTCTGTCATTTGAGCTGTTTCCAGTTCTGGGTTGGGTTTCTGCTTAATATGTTTTTACCACAGTGGCCGTTGCAGACCTGCTTGTCTCTGATTAGGCAACTTTGTTTTTCCATGTGCTAATCTTTTTAGCAAAACCACACTCGGTGCTGTTTCAAAAGTGAGATAACCAGTGTTACAGAACTGGTTCCCCTACCCTCCCTCCCATTTCCATGCTCAGAGGCATCACTTATACCCTCTTAATTGTTCAGCATCTCCAAACTGCCCAACACAATAGTGAAAGAAAAAAACAAACAAAATAAATCTACTTCCAGAAAGAGATCCATGCCACCACCCACAAACTGACCACTGAAAATCTCCCAGGAGCCTAGTGGTATATTTTTTTAAGAATAATACATAGTTACATTTCCTCCAGAATTACTGAGACTTCCATGTATACAATCTATCGCTAGTGCTTGGGAAATTAAAGAGATAGGTAAATGGAGTAAAAGCAAGTTCTATGTATTTATCAATGATGTACCAGGACTGGCACTGGACATACATTTTCCCCTAATATTTGAAAAAGGTACTGCTGCAGATGGGGAAACTAATGCTAAAGCAAGAATTCAAATCTGGACTCCCTAGCCATATTCCTTCTGCTATAGATCAGTTCCTTTTTCTAGAAAAAGGTCAAGACCTGGATGATACTGGACAATGACAGTGAATAGTCAAGAGAAATACAAACATGACCCAGTGCTTATTTCATGTTTTTCCATGACAGCATTTCGGCTTGTACTACACTTCCATTAAAGATTATAAATATATTTGCAATTAATATTCACTTAGCTATAAGAAAAAAAATTACCAGTGTTACCATTCAATGTGTCTATCTTTATATAGGATACTCGCTAAACAACTTGAAAACATGGAAGAAACCAGCTCTAAGTTTTCTGTTTTTATCAAATATGCTCCTTGCCCTCTATACTGGTTTAGTTCATCAACGAGGTACTCTTGATGTCATGACTAATATTCAAGAACTCTCTTACAACAATACAAGTGTATCTTCAGCTTCAGTACTTATGATGATGCCTTGTCACTCTACCCCTTATTACAGGTAATAAAAATTGCTCACTAAACACTATGACTATAAAAACTACTTTATAACTCCTTTAGGATTCCTAAATTTAAATTAACTGGTCAAATGATTATAAGGCATTTGAAACTCCTGTTTATGTCAATGAAAATATACCTCTTTTAAACAAACTTTAATATTCAAAACAACTTACATTTAAATACTCTGATCAAATAAACCTATACAGTATTTTATACTACCTTTAAAAGGTACTTAATAAAAAAAAATTCAGGTATCTGATCTTAATACAAATCTTTGTGATACATCTTATATTTACATAATTTCTAAATGATCTCAGAACACGGGATTCAAGCCCAGATTTACTGATGGGGACTGTTGTCCTGGGTCTTAAACCGGTGTTTTTAATTTCTTTAGGTATCAACTGTCTTGCATGTAAAAGTTAGGGAATTCAATTAGATGATATTCTAATGCTTGGATTAAGTATGTCTCTGGGAAGTAACAGTGAAAGTGCCTTAATTATGCAGGGCATTTAAAAATACATCATGGACACTAAGCTTGTATTTCAGGGAGCTGTATTACTTCACCAATTGCCTAATAAGGATAAAAGGACAAAGAAAACAGCTTTCCTTTAGAAAATTCTTTATCTATAGTTAATCTGAAGTTAATTTTCCATGTGCACATTCAGTCAATATCAAAGTTGGTATCATTTTACAGTAATTTAACACTTTTGGAATACTCTGCTTAACTGAATCATTAATGCCAATCATTAATAGGCTATTTGGAAAATTGGGATTGTCCAGCAAAAGCCAGTTAGATGGATGCAAGACCCCAAACAGCCCTTTAACTTGAAGATCCCATTCTACATAAGCTGAGAGAGGGATGTTCACTCTCCCTATATTGTCAGTAGTGATAACTTCAGAGAACAGGAATCCTAGAGGTACCATGATGCTCTCCCATACATGGTTGTAGTGACTGATATCTTAGGCTTTGCACAGTTCACCTAGTTATCATCTTAGGTTTTTCCAACAATGCACAATGGAGTGTGCGCGCGCGCACACACACACACACACACACACACAGAGTCTGATACCTACCTCTGAAATATAAGGCTGGCAGCACACACACACACACACACACAAACACACACAGTCTGATACCTACCTCTGAAATATAAGGCTGGCAGCCTTTTCTCAATTGTTTCTGCTTTCCCCTTGAAGCAAGACTTTCATCCTCAAAATTGTAAAAGTCATTAAGTATTAACATCCTGTATAAATTTACTTTGTATGCATTTCATAGATAAAAATAAACCTCTATCAAATATTTAATTTCTCTGAGGCAAAATTGTAAACATGACTTTGCATGTCCCAAGTAACTGCTTAATCCACCTTTTCTACATACACTCTTATCTTCCAATGCCACAGTAAAACCATTACTTATTCAACTTTGATCCATGAACCCATGTTGTTCTTTTTACTAAATCATACTTATACATAACTATTTAAGAACAACAAAAGAAACAGGAAAAACTTGTCACTTAAGAATTCAGAGCAGCAAGAAGAAAAGAATGAAGAATCCTTTATCTTTTCAGGTTCATGACCAGTTTTCTACCTTGCCAGATATTACTCTCTTATTAACAAGTAACATACCTGGTCCCAAAGCCCCTATGCATCCCTGGAACACATACTAATGTTAGAGAGTACTTAGTCCCACAAGCTGCGGACCAATTTCCCACCTTCACATGGGAGTTTCACTCTTTAGTTTGGACTTGAGGTTATGCTACCTACACTGTATAAGAATCTTGGTCTCCATTTTTTGAGAAAACTGCATTAAAGATGTGCCTCTTCACCTTAAGTGAAACCCAGTTTAGATTCAGATTTCACATTTTGTTATGTGAACATGATGTATCTTAAGAGTAATTTGAAAACTCACAATTTTTTTTTAACTTCCTCTAACTATAATGGTAACTTTCTTTTTATAGCCATGTCCACTACCCGCTTCCAATGAGATTTCTCCAGTGTCCCCCAGACCTGACTGGAAAAACTGATTATCTTGTTGAAGCAGATATGTTTTATCTAAATCCCTTAAAGTGGTTGTATATGGAGTTTCGAAATGATTCATCACTGCCTACTCATTTGATCATCTTCAGCGTCTTGGAGGAGGTAAGGGAATATGAAAAAAGGTATAACTTGGTATTTTTATTTTACCTCAGGTTTAGCAAACACTCAGATAAATAGACAATATCACTTTTTTTAATGGTCCCTTTCAAAACATATTTTATTAACTGATCTTTTCCCTAGTCAAAATCAGCCCTAGTTCTATAGAACTACCAAGGAATGTATGTTACTTACCATGAGTCATTTTACTATGAAATTGCATTGTTTTATTAAGAAAAAAGTTGCAGAGGAACTAACAGGTCATTCTTAAATTCATGAAACAGTACTCAACAAAAGGTGGCTTTTATTTGCTTAAAAACAGTTATTTACTTCTAGGAAATAAGTCCTTTCCTAATTTCAAACAACTATGAGAGAACTGCTGTTTTCTTCCACACTCACTTTCCGGAGAGTCGAACTGGAAGTCACATATACGTCTATGAACGGAAGTTAAAAGGGAAACTCAACCAAAGATGAAATTCTGAACTGTGTTTAGATCTTTCTCAGAGAAATAGAGATTGCTGAGCAGAAATATTCAGATGTTGCTGAAAGATGCTACTAAATACTGGGTAAAACTCATGGAACTAGCAAAAACCACTATGAAATGCTTTACCAAATAGCACTACTGAGGAAATGTATGGGGAGAAAATTACAATATAAAATCATATATTAATGCAATGCCAGATTTTAAATAAAGACCTTTAGTTTTCCTCATGGTGTAGTTTTATTGTTTCTTCCACAATATTCAGATGTGCAAGAAATTTCACAAGAGAACAAGTCAGCAAGTTCATAAGAAGGCAGCAAATTCTTCACAAATCAACGGGCTCTTGAACCCACAAAAAGACAAGAAGCAAGTGTAAGGTTATAAAATGTTAAAGATGAAATTCCATCACAATGTACTTTTTTTTCAAGCTCTACTGGAAATTTAACACAAATATCAGTGTTAATTACACTTTGTCATGTATGATTTGAGCTTGCTTTAAGCTCATACACTGAAAGGAAGTCTCATTTCATGCACAAAATGTGTTGCATGCTTGGCTTCCTTAATAAAACTACAGCTGAACATTTCCAGTGCCAAAAAAAATATTCAGCGAAGCTAAACTACAGGAAAATGCAAGTTAGTAAGCTTTTGCTTGATACTTGAGTAATAATATAAAATTATCAAACTAAGAAATGATAAAAAGACATTGTTATCTTGATAATTTCATCTTAGTTTCAACACCAAACAGTAAAGAAAGCATCCAAGTTTCTGTTACAGTTTTCTAATTTAACTTAGTTGTGATGGTCAATATTTAGGATCAAAAGGTAACTGCCCCAATTCTATTTCAAGGTTTGCCATATGTCTTCCATTAGTGCGACCATATTTATGCCATTTACCTTCCCTTTTATAAGGTTGTGGCTGAGGGTGCTTCTGCTCTTGTTTTCGATGCCTGGAGCTTTCAATATTTACCATACGTTGCTTTTTATCTGGTCGACTGAAAGCAGTAAACACATTTTTCATCCAGGTTAGAGTTAAATTTATTTAAACAGGAAACAATTTTAATGTTTTCTCCATTAATCTATTATCTGAACACTGAAAAAGGATAGCAAATGAATCTGAAGTACATAATCCTAGTATAACCATATGAAAAAGATTTCAGTGAGTTTATACTTTTATCCTACAGAAAGAAAAAATGGACAAACATAACTGTGCTGGCAAAGAGGGGAAACACTCAAAAGATAAATAGAAATGTGACAATAAAATAATGAGATGTGTTTCCATTATTTTTTCTCCTTTCCTATTAATTCCCCCTCCTCAAGTGGCTTTCCTCCCTCAGCAGGGATACATACACATCTCCTACAGAGTTCCTCCCTCTCTCTCTCCCTCTCTTTTTTCTGCATGCACATGCATGCTCTAACAGCTAAGGCTTATAAACAATATCTACATGTAGTTCTTGATCTCCATAATCACACCTTTGCCACTAGTTCGACAAAAAACTCCATGGCCATCCAATTCCCAACCAAGATATCCATTCTTTTTTTTGGGGGGGGGGGGGAGCATTTAACATTATTCCTTTTACTTGAGATGATTTTCGATTTTCACAATTGCCACTCTCTGCCCATCATTCTCAGCCTTCTTTCTCTACAGCCCTTTAGATGTTGGTGTTCCTCAGCAGTCTGATCCACACCTCCAGCCTAGACTATCTACATATACAGAGTCTGGGCTAGAGACAGAGTCACATAACCAATGGTCAACTAATTCTCTCTACTTATATGTGAATAGATTCCAAATACAATTCTCATTTTCAATTCCCCTTACCCCAAACCTTCTGGTATTCCTTAGTATAGCTGATGTCTATATATAACTATAGACAGTTATATATTTTATATATATATATATACAAACACCAACACACACACACAACTATAGACACAGACATATATTTGTAACTATATAGTGACCCAACCCATAAATCTCAAAAGGTATTGTTACTTTCTACTTCTATTTCACAAGAAATAGCACCGATTTTACTTACTATATACTGTTCAAATCTGTCCCCTCCTTTCTATTCCTGCTACTGCCCTAGTTCAGATAGTCATCAGCTCATGTCTGTATCGTTTCAAAAACCACTTTCTGCATCTAGCTTCACTCTTTCCAATAAACCCTTCAGGCTGCTGCCAGTGACCCAAAATGCAGTAAAACAAGTCTTCCAGCAGGAAGGTTCTTCATGATGTGAATCTCTTCTCCTGTTCACACCTCAGCTCTACCTTGTCTCCTTAACATAGCATGTCTTCACATCTCCAAATCAGTGCAAGTGAAGCTCCCTTTGAGTGGAATGTACTCCCATCTGCTGCAGGCAAGTTCTCACTACTTCTTCAAAAACCAGTTAAAAAGAAGGTCAGCTCAAAGGCCATCTTATGAAGCGTGCCCAAACATCTACTGACTGAGGCCACCATATAGAGATGCCTCCACATCTCCACTGCATTTCCTGTATTGACCTAATTCTCCAAAAGCTTGTGAGCTCCTTGACAGCAAGACTTGTTCATTTCTTTCCTCAGGACAGCCTCACAGTACTTTGCCCTAGATATGTATTTAATGACTAAAGACACCAAAATCAGTCTCATTATTTTATTGACACATTGCATTTATTCAAAAAGCTATATAGAGAGAAAACTATCTCAAGGGTTAAAAAATAAAGCTAACATTCAAAGATTAGGAGAGTTTCGTGTTACAGAATAGAAAGCTGGTAAGCAATGGATAATACAATGTTATTTTTAAAGGTTATATATAAAGCACACGCATTAGAACTTGTGGCTTGCTAAGTTTACCCTTTGATCTTGCCTCTACCTTTACCAATAACAATTCTATATTAAATGTATTAAATATCATAATTTAGTTGGTAAGTAGAATAGACAAAGCAAGTGGGACACTTGAATTGTTACTCTGATTTCAAAGTATAATTTGTATTTTTCACCTCTAGCTTCCCAAAGTGAGTGAGTAAATAAAAGATTAAGGAAATAATTTAACTTACGGTGATTATCTTTTCATATAAAGTATAATGAAAAAAATGAAATAGGCTAAAATAGAATTTTATATCCTCAGCAGATTTTTTAAGGTAGAAATTAAACCACTTGCTTAAGTCAAACTGATTTTATAAAATTTTCAGTTGGTAATAGATTTTAACTTAAAATTTAATCTTTCAATTTAATTTATCCTAAATTCCAAGGCAATAAAGTACTTTTACAAATAGTACTTTAAAAAGTACTTTTACAACAAATACAGCTGACCCTTGAACAATGTGGGCTTGCACTGCTTGGGTCTATTTATACCTGGATATCTTTCAATAGTAAATACTTCAGTACTACACGGTCTGCGGCTGCTTGAATCCTCAGATGCAGATATGCTGACACAGAGGGCCTGACCATAGGTCATATGCAGACTAACCCCCAGGTTGTTTAAGGGTCAACTGTAGTAGCATTCTAAGAAACATATCAAATTATAAAAATGCTATTCAATCTACAAATGTTAAAAACTATTATAATAACATGGTGCTATGTAAACCGACCTGGGTCCATATGGAGGGGAAAAGGTGTGACCAAAGAAGTGTCTATATATATATCCATCCAACTTCTCAAATACGCCATCATTATCTACTTGATATTCCTTCATGTCTTTAAGATAATCTTTAACATCATTAACAAAGTCAGTGAAGAGCTTCTGATCATGTATAAAGACACCATTTAGGAAAAACTTATTGATGAAGTGATCAAGTTCTTTCCAGTGATGAAAACTATCCAGTTTTTCTAATAAATACCCTTCAATTAACTGTCTAAATTCATCTATCCTTACAGGATTCAACATTTTAACATTAAAAAGGTTAATAGATTCCTGTTGAGCACATTCAAATACACCAGAACAAGCCTTTCTGAAAGAATTATAATTTCCACCACAGTCATGCTCAGCACTGCATTTCTGTGAATTTGTATTTTTTCCAAATTCTTCAAAATGAGGCTTTTCTTTCCTTCCCTCTCTTTGCATAGTAGGGCCTCTACTATTCTGGTTTTGTGTACGTGCCTTATACTGTGGATGTAAATATTCACTATAAACTGTTGGTTTTTTAGCTGTGGCTTCTTTTGTAGCACCAAATCTTTTATTGCCTTTTTCATCAAAGATATTCTTGGTGGTATCTTTGAAATGCCTGAAAGTGGATTTAACTGAATCTGAGAATTTTTTCAGATTTTCTTTTACAGCTTCTTTAGCCTGTTTAATTTTTTCTTTATGATGCCTCACAAACTCCTTAGTAGAATTCTTCATTGCATCAAATGTTTCCTTAACAGAACCCAAAAATGTTTCCTTTGATTTGTTTTTAGCTCTGTGGTTTCCTCTGTTCCCTTTCTTCTTTCCATCAGTTTCTTGTTTCTCATTTTGATCTTTTGCTTCAACATACAGTCTTTCCCACAAATCAGAACGCTGCTGCTCGAAGGTGAGCTTGCGCTCCAGCTCAGCGAGTCTTTCCCGTAACATTTCCATTTCTTTTTTCTCAGTCATTACACTGGGCGAGTCTGGGCTGCCATATGAGTGCCTGGAGCTTAGCTGTTGGAGTTCCACCCTTAAGGCCATGGTTATTAGTCGTTCTCTTTCTAGTTCCTTCCTGAGCATCTTTGCTTCTGCCAGTAGAGTCTCCCTTTGATTAAGGAAACTGTGTGTTTTCAGCTTTTCTTCTTCTAAATGCTGCTTAAGTTTCTGATTTTCTGTAACTAATTCAGTGCTTGTCCCTTTATCTTCTAATATCCTAATCTGTTCTCTTAATTTCCTTAACTCTTCCTGTAATGAAGACAAAGCTTTTTCTTCCTTTTCCAGAGATGTTCTTAGATACTGATTTTCTGTATCAAGATTCTTTTTCTGAGTTTCAAAGGACATCTTCTCTGCTTCAGTATGGGTCCAACACCTTGCAAGGTTTTCCTTCAGTGACTAAATTTTTTGAAAGATAAGAAGG